AAAGATATTCTCGTAAAATTTTCTTTCAAAATGTTTCCAGCAGTCTTTCTAACGTCTTTTGTAGTTATAGAATGAAGTGTTAACAGAATTGTTTATGGCAGTCTTTCTAACGTCTTTTGTAGTTATAGAATGAAGTGTTAACAGAATTGTTTCTAGCAGTCTTTCTAACGTCTTTTGTAGTTATAGAATGAAGTGTTAACAGAATTGTTTATGGCAGTGTTTTTAACGTCTTTTGAAGTTATAGAATGAAGTGTTAACAGAATTGTTTCTAGCAGTCTTTCTAACGTCTTTTGTAGTTATAGAATGAAGTGTTAACAGAATTGTTTCTAGCAGTCTTTCTAACGTCTTTTGAAGTTATAGAATGAAGTGTTAACAGAATTGTTTCTAGCAGTTTTGTAACGTCTTTTGAAGTTATAGAATGAAGTGTTAACAGAATTGTTTCTAGCAGTCTTTCTAACGTCTTTTGAAGTTATAGAATGAAGTGTTAACAGAATTGTTTCTAGCAGTCTTTTTAACATCTTTTGAAGTTATAGATTGAACTGTTAACAGAATTGTTTCTAGCAGTTTTGTTAACGTCTTTTGAAGTTATAGAATGAAGTGTTAACAGAATTGTTTCTAGCAGTCTTTTTAACATCTTTTGAAGTTATAGATTGAACTGTTAACAGAATTGTTTATGGCAGTGTTTTTAACGTCTTTTGAAGCTATAGATTGAACAGTTACCTCTGAAGATGAGCTGTATGCCAGAGACCATTGTCTACTCGAGTGTAACTCCTAAGAATCAATGGGAGAATCTGTTTTCCAAGATTGAAGCTGAACTCAAGAAACCCATCTACTACAGCCAGTGAAAGGTAATCACCCCGTATTGTTGCCCCTTTATTCAACCATATTAAGAGCCCATGTTTTTCTAAAGTTTGAAAGGTGATATGGAAGCTATTTTCACGCTGTCCTTGCACCCTGTATAGAAGAACAATAATAAGTCCACATTATAAATACAGTAATGAAGTGATATTTCATATTATAATAAAGGTTCCTCATAATAACTGAACTTCATAGGAAAAAAAAAGAAACTAAAAAGAACTTTTACGTCCCTGCTCACCGTAAAACCAAACATTTAATTTATAGATTATCATAATGATGGGATAATTGGAAACGTTTGTGTCTGAAGCATTCATATTAGCAGAAGGTTAGAACAAATTTAATGGAAACACTACGATAAAGACAAAATAACCATAGAAATTTTATTAAAACAGTAAGGACAAATCAACTGAATACGGTTGTGTCTTACCCAGTTTCGCTAGCTTCCGGAGATAGCTTTTCACTGTGAGTGTAGAGAAACATGGATGTTAGTAGCTGAGAAATTATTTACATCAAGATATACACATAGACCAATAGTTATAGAGATGTGGGTTAAGAATAAAGAAAAAAACTTTCTGTCAAGATCTGCGTATCAATAGTCACAGATTTTAGTGTAAAGAAAGATGCGGGTTACGAGTAAAGAAAGTTTTTACCTCAAGATCTTCATACCAATTATTACAGATTTTAGTGTTAAAAAAAAGATGTGGGTTAGGAGTAAAGAAAGTTTTTACCCCAAGATCTGTAGTCCAATAATTACAGATTTTAGTGTGAAAAAAAAGATGTGGGTTAGGAGTAAAGAAAGTTTTTACCTCAAGATCTGTAGTCCAATAATTACAGATTTTAGTGTGAAAAAAAAGATGTGGGTTAGGAGTAAAGAAAGTTTTTACCTCAAGATCTGTAGTCCAATAATTACAGATTTTAGTGTGAAAAAAAAGATGTGGGTTAGGAGTAAAGAAAGTTTTTACCTGAAGATATGTAGTCCAATAATTATAGATTTTAGTGTGAAAAAAAGATGTGGGTTAGGAGTAAAGAAAGTTTTTACCTGAAGATCTGTAGTCCAATAATTACAGATTTTAGTGTGAAAAAAAGATGTGGGTTAGGAGTAAAGAAAGTTTTTACCTGA